TTTTTTTTGGTAGGATTTCAGGTATATTAAGGTATTTCTTGAATAGTGCAATTTCTTTGTTGATGGAGTGGATTTGGTGTTTTACTATTTGTTGGAGAGGGTCATTGGTTTTTGTGAGGTAGGCTTACAATCTGATTGAACTAACTCTAAAAACTACAACAATTTTGATTAGAACCCGGCTTCCTAAAGCTTTTGGTACATACAGCCTATCAACATCTGATTTCATGTGGTGCATCCTCATTTGAATAAGTATTATTCTGGTCTTAGTGTTTAATCTTTTAATGTCATTCAACTCCCATTTAGTAATATTGAAGTTGTATGTTACTACGAGTATAGCGAAGGTGTTGATAGCCTTCATTTTATTGGCTATTTAGTTCACTTTCTAGTATCAAACACACTCTCCTATAATATTCTTTTCGGATCTTTTTCTTCATAATTGAATATTGTATTATATCTCCTTCATTAATTCCTAAGTATTTGTATGTACCATCTTGGTCTATTTCCTTAATCTTGTTGTTGATATCAAGGTCTAAATTTGTAGTTTTCATTAGTTTACCACCTTTGAAAGTGGCTTTGACACATTTGTTGATTCAAAACTCCATCTTAATGTCTTTGCTAAAGGTTTTGACAATGGTGAAATGGTGATTAGGTTTTTCTGCTGGTTGTCATCCTTAGCAAACATTTTAAGATCATCAATATAGAATAGGTGATTCAGTTTGCCATTCTGTGACTTGTATCCATAGCTACTTATTGTTCAGCAGGCAGCTAAGTGGTGCTAATGCAAAACAGAAGAGTGGTGTTGACAATGACCGTCCTTGGAAGATCCCTCTTTTGATGTTGATTGGTTTCAATGTTGTATGGTTTAGATTTAGTGTAGTCTTCCAGTTTTTCATGGTCTCCATTATGAATTTGACTGTTGTGGGGCATACTCTGTATATTTTTAGACTCTTCCTTTATCCATGAGTGTGGAACACTGTTGAATGCTTTTCTGTAATCGATCCATGCTCTCAATAAGTTTCTTTTCTTTGTTTTCGCCTCTTCCAATATTATTTTATTGATAATAAGTTGGTTCTGGCACCCGTAACTTCCTCTATTACATCCCTTCTGTTCTGCTGGAAGTATTTTTTTTTTTCTCAAGGGAGTTGTATGTCCTCTCAGTTATGATAGAAGTGAGGATCTTGTACATTGTTGGTAGGCAGGTGATGGGTCTATAGTTCTTTTGAGATCAGTGTCTCTTCTGTGTTTGAGAGTAGGCATGTTACTCCCCATGTGAACCATTTGGAGCATTTTTCTGGGTTTATAATTATGTCATTGTATGCTCATACAAGGTCTTGGTGAATGCTAAATAGATTTTTTATTCAAAAATTGGCTATACGGTCTATTCCTGGTGCTTTCCAGTTTTTGGTTTTGCAGATCGCAGTGGTTATTTCAATAATATTGATATCCTTCCATTTTTGCACTTTATATGCATGTGTTGTTTTTGTTGTTTGATCCATGTAGCTCTTTCATTGTGTATTTTGCAGTTTTCACACATCTTACAGCATAACTCCTTAACATCCTGGATATTAGGTGGGTCATTTATCTCTATTTTATTTTACTCGGTTCTTAATATAATTAATTGGCATCTTCTTTGAAGATCTTGTTTTTCCAGAAGAATCTGATTTTTTTCATAATGCCTGATTCTTTGTGCCTTCATATGAATTTGTTTATTCAGCTTCTTTTTAACTTTTGGTACATCAGTATTATTTTTTATGTCAAGGCTTAATTTCAGTTGTCTCCTTTTTCTTTCTTTCATTTTAGAGCCCTTGTCTACTTCACTTAGATGTGACAATTGTCCTTGTAGTTTGTTTATTTTGGTTTCTATTTTTTCTTTCCAGACTGGCATTTTTCTTTTTCATTTACATTGTGTTTTTACTTTTTCACCTATTGTTTCTCTGATCATTGCTGGGGCTGCACATATAAGATGATTAATTTCTGTCAGGTTCATCAGTCTCCATTTTGCCCCTTATTTTTCTAATTGCTTGGTTAGCAAAGTTAATGGTTTCCTTCATTTGACGGTTCTTTCTTACTTTTGGAATTGTCAGACTTTGCTCAAAAGATATTTCCTTTACATTCTCCCATTGATATCAGATGTTTTTTGCCATCTCTGTTTCTCTCCCATATTCATCATTATCTCTATTTGCTTGAGTACCTCAGAGGGGTAATTAAAACTGGTTTCTTTATTATTATTATTATTATTATTATTAATAATAATAATAATAATATTTCCTTTGATTTCTGATTTTTTTCTTTCATTGCTGCATTCTGAATCCTATGTCCTTCTTTGAATTCAAGATATTTGTACACTTCTTTCTAATCCAGTTCACAAATCACAATTTCATTATCAATTTTTATAGCCATTGTCTGTACCAATTTCCCTCTTTTAAAGAATGTCTCAACACATTTGTCTCAACCAAATTCCCTGGTGATATTCTTGTTGTATGGTAATATATACAACCATTTGTAGATGTCTGTTTATTAACATGACCACACGTTTTATATTTAATGTAAAATACACCAAAATATGAAACACAAGAAGGAACAAATGGTTTTATAACAAAAGCATTTATATTTATTTTTTGTGTAATGATGTACATGTGTAGAGGTTACTATTTTGTTGGTGTTAGGTCCCTTTGACTGATTTAAAGTTTTACTGATGAATGGAAATATTTTTATTTGAGCTCACAAAAGTTGGATGAATTATAAAGCTGAGAAATACTGAATTAACTGTAGCTTTAGAAGAGTATTTCAAAGAGAAAAGTTTCTTGTTTGGAAATGTTTGTATGTTTGTAATGTAGTTTGGAAAATTCTGTATGTATGTGCATACGTGGATATGCTTTTAACATCTGACCGCACATGGTCGAGATGTGATGCTTTTTACAACTACATCTTGTAGCGAGAGAAATCAAGGAAGAAGAGAGAGAGAGAGTAAGCTTGTGCCTGCTATTTATAATTAATGTAATCATGTGACAGACTCACAGAAAATGGCGGGAAAACTTGACTTGGTTGCGTGCTGGAAAAATATTTGTACGTGAGTGGATTGCAACACCCACTTGTATTTTTATTGACCAATCAGAAGCTGATATTTTCTGAAAATCTGTATGAAGCTGAATAAGCTTTTTATAAAATTGTACAAAATTCAACATTAATAAGAAAGTGGTGGCAGGATGCTAAAATATCATTACTGAATTTCATCTACTGTTGCTTCTAATTCATTATCATTTTTAATAGTAAACAGTTTCAAATTGTTCATGTGGAACAAGTGATTTAATAAGCTTATCACATAAGTGATATCCATAACGTGTGTCATTGACCTCTAACCAACACAGTATTTTAAAGAAATTTTTCTCTCAACAATCCAAAAAAGTTAAGTATTTCAAACTATCTCTCTTCATCTACTTTTGAATGGATGCAAACCATGTATCCCTTCTGTGAGGAATGCACTCCCTTAAACATTTTGAATATTATTTTGTATATTGTTTTTTCTTGTTTGTGTGGATAAATCAACTGTGTAGAGGACCAGGGGGCGTGAAGATGAAAAGAAAACATGTGCATTTATATTTCCTGCTAGAAGGTCCAGCTACAATATGGAAATGTTGGACTCGAATTAAGTCCAACCGAAGATAAAGAATACAAACAAACAAGATTGATATATATTAAAACAAATATGTGTATTAACAACAAAGCACATAGACAGTTAACATTGTGTTTGTGTGTGAACATGTGTGTGTGTGTGTGTGTGAACGTTCGTATTTGGGTGAATGTTATTTTGGAGAAGTTTGTAAGTGTTCATATTGGGGTGAATGCTTGTAATGTTCATAGCATTTTCCCAGAAATGGGAAACACTGATCTTCTAAGAGCTTACATCTTGTTACTGAAATGAAGAAGAGATTTACCTCACCTCCACGCAAGGTGGGATTCAGCACGAGGCCTGAAGGAAAGAAGAGATCGAGGCAAGAGGTCACCCGGTATTTATAGCATGGGGAGAGAGGCCCCTGGTAAAGAATTTGGAAATTAAGGAGGAGGTAACTCCGGCAACTGTTCATTTTAAATAACCGCTAAGCCCCATGCTACTATAAACTAAAAATGGATTTATGCCTAGTGCGAAATGAATGTAGCAGACTAGGATAGAATTTGAACTTTGAGCTTGTAAATTCCATTTTCAATAACTGTAACACTATCTGCATCAGTAATGTGCAGAAGGGTGGGGGTAGAGGGTGCGATGGCTACAGGTATCCAATCAAAGAGTGAAATAAAAATTTAGCTTATATTTAATTTGAATTTCATGTTTAATCTGATTTACATAAAAATGTCTTCCATTCTCATATTTTACAGTACTAGCCCCCACCCCTCTACTTCAGGGCATACAATCAAGGAGTTGACCTTGGGTATCACCAAACCTCTGTACAACCAAATACATAGTTTAAATTCCTGAACTTTTATTGGGACCAAAAGTGCTAAGGCTTTCCACAGAAATTAGCTTAAAAACTGCCAATGGCCAATACAGTTTTCACTTAAGCTAGTTGTAACTAGAAAAAAGAAAAAAAGATAATTACTTTTTTTTTCTTGCTTGCTTAGTAATCAAACACATTTGTAATTTTAATAGAAACACACGCAGCAATTATATAATTTACTTACATTTGTAAGTATTTAATCTATTTATTCAATAATTTGATCGATTAAATAATATTTACTTTTCTGTCTTTTCGCTTCTTTTTGTATTTGTCTAGTTACACTAAAACCATTATCCTTAGTGAAGCTGCTGCTTGGAAAGTTTAGACAAAACTAATGCTACATTCATTAACAGTTTCCCCAGGCTAAACTAATGCACTCAAAAAGCCGGTTTTTATCCACGAATGCCAAAACTAAACACTGAAATGAATAAATGTAGATTTTGATTTTTGAATTATTGGACTAAATTACAAAGACATTAATTAATAATAAGAAATATCTTTAGAAAGATGCCAGCGTCTGGAAATAACTTTTTACCACAAAATATGATGCAGGTAAGAAAATGAAGATCTGGAATATAGATTATTTTTCTTTGTATTATTTTTGGTTAAAGAAAAAATATGTGGACGGGGTTCAGTTATTTATCAATGTTTTCCCCATCATACACTTGGAATAAGAATATCTGCTAATAATAAATCATATTATTACAAATATTTAAAAAAAAAAAAAATTATTATTTAAAAATTTTAAATGAAACTAACTAGAGATTTTTTTTGTCTCTTTAACTTTAAGTTTTCATTTTCTTAAATAAGTTATTTCCCTGTTCGTCTTAAATAAGTTTTTTTAATATATAAAAATCAAAATCTTCAGATCGTAACTTTTCATGTAGATTTATTTTTAGTTAAAATTACTTTTTTTTTTCCGTAATTACATTTTTTTTATTTTTAAATAAATGACTTAAAAAAATACAGTAAAATTTACTATATTTTTTTTAAATGTAAAACTCGACATGAAATGTATTTATTTTATAACATATTTCAAGAGAGAAAATGTATCAGTTTTTAAAAAGAGCGGGGGAAATAAAAATCTATGTGCAATTTTTTATTATTATTCCTGATCCGGATGGAGAAAAAAATGTTAAAGTTAAATAAATTATTATTCATATTCAGCATTATCTAATTATTATTATTACAAATTAATTAATATTTAAAAATCCTTCTTTACTGAAAGCGAGAAATATTGGGAAAATATTTTCTTAAACCGCCAATTATTGGAGACAGAATGAAAATGCAAAACCATGAAAGACTACATGTATGTAGTTAATGTTCCATTTCATATTCACTCATCTTTGTTTATTTCCGTCAGTGATGCCTTCAAATTTTTATTTATTCATTGTTATCAGAAATTTTAAAGTAATTATTGTAACCTTTATCTTCGTTTCTACAATGACCCTATTTCAGTTGGAATGGCTTCTGCTGCTGACCTTTGTCGTGTATATTGTCAGTTTTTTTTTTTTTTTTTAAAAGAAGGTATTTGCAGCTTGCTCTTGTCTTGAGTCTCAGTATCACTTATTAATTATTTTCATTTGTTTTTGCTACTAACGTTCAGTTGGTGCATTTTCTGTGCTTTCCTAGGTGTATGCTAAAAAAAAAATTATTTCAAAGTTTTTTTTTTTTTTTTTTTTAAAAAAAAAAAAAAAAGAAAAAGTTTCACTGCATACAAACCGACCAAAGATTGTGGATCAGAATTATTTTAAAACTAGTTACTAACAGTAACACCTCCTTTCAAAACACTGTATGCGCGCAATAATATTTGAATTTGCATTATGATATTTAAATTGAACATCTGCAAACTAATCAAGAACATCATCAATAAAGGACAAAATTATTTTAAATAAAGCAAATTTAAGAACCGATGAAACTTTTGGTTAATAAACTAAACATCAGAATTTGAGGCCAAAAAAATGATAACAGTTTTTGATTCTAAATTCTGCAAAGTGCAAAGTAAATTTTCCGTCATTTTTTTGTGTATTTTTAGGCAGCAAAAGTTCTTTAAGTAAGGAAAATATTAAAAACAGACATTTTGTGTTGATTAATTTTTTAAAATGATCGACTTTTCCAAATTGCAAATGATCCTTCCTTCTCAGGTAAAAAGGGAGGAAGAAATTCCGTCCGAAGTTCATTGCAGAAGAAAAGTACAAGAAATATGGTTTCGACTTATCCAGGCCCACCCAATTAGTAGGGGTGGAAACACAAGTGTAATAGCGCCGATTCTGGAAGAATCCAAAAAGTGCTAGTCTTTTAGTTTTGGTGTTTTTTCTGATTGGATTTTTTTTTTAATTTTTAATCACTTCATTTAACATTTGGTAAACTCTTAGATTCAGTGCTTCTCAAACCTGATTAAATTACCCCCACCAAAAAAATAAATAAAAACTAAAAAGTGATTAAAATATTTTCCAGTATGGGGGTGTGAATCTATGTTAGAGACTTTCACTTTACTCCTTGACTGATTTCTTAAAATTTACAATTCAAATCTTAAGTTTTATCTTTATTTTCTTTCTTAGAAAGTGTGTTCAGAAATGTTTTTTGAAGAAGTCTTTGTGACTACTACTTCTTTTAGTCACAATTTTGTAAATACCTTTGAACCTTTGAAACCAAGAACTTTAAAATTCTTTTAAATTGATGAAAACCAACAAAACAAATTCTTGTCAGATTTCCAGCATGAATATTTACCCTGGCTCCCCACTGAGACAGGATGTGGAACAAGGTCAGATTTAATGTGGGGAACCCGAGCACATTGGCCAAGAACAAAAATTTCCCCAAGTCCCCGCAACTGTTAGTTGCTCTAGCCTCGGTCTGAGCACTGATCCCTCTCTCTAGTGCAATGAGAGGATGCAGTCTCAGCCATCTGTTCCCCAGCGATGGGCACCTCACAGTGTGATTTTCCTCGGTTGCACCTCTGTCCTCTGACAGAACCACAACCGAGTCGCACTGTGCCCAAAGACATAAACGCAACTGAGAGATGATAAAGACCTAACTGACCAGTTAACACTTTAAAAAAAGGAACAATTTTTATGCTGTTAAGTTATACCAAGTTATTTGCTCTGTGTTGGTGGCAAGCTGAAATAACAAGTGAACTGGAATATGTCACATTATGAAACACTGCCAAGAGAAGCCACCTTTTGTTAAATATGTAAAAGATTTTATTTTTGTATATCCATGTTGCAGTTGGAAGAACATACAGTGGTTCTTTTAACTGAACAAGTTAAAACTTGGCAGTTTTAACCTTCCTTTTTACCCTTGATGATAATTGCTTTTTTAGTCTGTTGGCCAGAAATACTAACACTGTATTATATAGTTATTAATTATTACAGAGTTTTAGTTAGTTGATAATCTTCAATAAACAAAAATATAATTGAAATTCAGTTCTATAATTATTAAATTTAAATACCTTTTCTTTTACATCAGTTTAACATTGGTAAACTAATATGACTAATACCTTGATGTAGTTTCTAATTGGTTGGAAAGGCCCAATAACAGAATTTTTGATCTTATACTGAGCTACATTTTCAACAAAATTAAGTGAATGTAAAAACTTTTTAGTTACATTCTGGAAAAGAAAAAAATGTCTGTCTATCTTTACAGATTTATAAGTCTACCATTCATCTATACGTGGAATGTAGCTGTCACATATAGTCTGGTGCTTCTATGTATTTAGGGATTCTTGATAAAATCCAAGGAAGAATCTGCAATATGGCATCTTGGCTTCTAATCACTTACTTTCCTATTTCCATAACATAGTTTCTTTATGCCTTTTCTATATTTTCTTGGTAATTGTTTTGATGAGCTTTACCTAGACTTTATAAATTGTACCTAGAATTTAAGTGTCCTATGAGATTAGCAGAAATTGTAATTACTAGATTTAACCATAAGTTGTATGCTAACAGTTTCTTCTCATTTGCAGCTTCTTGCTTTCGAGTCAACTTTGATTTTCAAAAATTTAAATGCAATGTCACTTGTTATTTCCTTAATTCTTGTTTTTTTGTTTTTTTTGTTCTCACTCCTTAATTGTTTCCTTTTTCTCATATTCTTTCACACTCAGTAACACCTTCTGTCTTAGTGTGTTTTGTTAGGGGTGAAAAGATTAAAAAAATAAAAATAAATTATCTAAAATTAGAATTAAAAAAGTACAATCCAGTCAACAGATAACAGAATTGCAAATGAATGGCAATCAATATTTCCTCTTTGGTTTTGATATTAACATTTCTTGAATGGTTACATTTCTTGAATGGTTATATTTCTTGTTTTAACATATTTCTTTTTAATTTTCAGCAACAGAACTTATCTTTACGGCAGCAGTTGTACACAAGTGTGTATACTACTGTATATTCTCCATGTGGAAAATATTTGGCAGCAGGTAATAATTATGGTTATTGCGCTATTTTTAGGTAAGTAGTTTTACATAAAATTAATTCTCTTACTGTAAATAAACATGATATCATTCTGACAGTTAATTTGTTGACAAATAAATATTTCATTGAAAATTAAATGCAATGACAGGCAATTTTTATAATTTATTTAAAAAAAATTAAGAATGGTGATAGTCCTTGGGTTGAATTATTACGGCAGGCTATGTTTTGACCAACTTCAGGATATGAAAAAAAGTAACTAATGTTTTAAGAGTCACTTAATCATTTTATTTCAAATATAATAAACTTTAAAAAATGCCTTGTACATTTATTTGTAATTTTTAAAAACTTTTGGTTTGAAATTATTTATTTCTGTGTTACATCCATAAAATTTTATATCATCTTATTTAATGTCATAGTAAAACATTCTCTTACCATTTAAAATTTTTATTTTAGTTTGCCTGGATCATTGGCTTTTGAAGCAACAGAAAACTCTTGGAAACCTATTTTTACTTTTAAAGGTAATTTTTTTTTCTTTTTTGTAGTGACCTTGTTTAAAAATGTTTGGATATCTTATAAGAAGTGTAAACCAACTTAAAATTTCATTATTGTTAATATATACCAGTAAGGTTCAAGTGACCATATGAAAGAGTATTAAAAATGGAATTGGTGAGCAGAAATCAAATTTCTACTGTGAGAGAGTTTGTGTTCATTTTATACTGTAGTTCTTGGGAAAGAGATGAATCCATCTCTTCTATTTCCAGGTATGGGTAAAATAGTAGTGAAAATTGGGCTGTATAGCTCTCTTGACAACCAGCTTAAGAGCGGAGGTCAACTCTGAGTTTAAAAACCTCCATTGTTTTGTAACCATACTCACTCATAGGAAAAATTTTAGAAGTAAACACTTATAACAACTCCAGAACGTTATTCCTTAAAACAGTCTAAAATTATCTTCTTCATCATCACCATCATCATCCTTCCAGAAGGATGCCATAGGAGTAAGGATGAGTGGACGTCATGATAGTTTTTTTTGGTAGCTGATACAAAATGTGGGACGCCAACCCTACATTATCCTAAACATCCTCCTGACAACAGCAAGGACATTAGTGCTATGCTGTATTGTGTTTTCCCTTTGTTTTTAATAACATTTATGTGGAGAGGGGAAACTGCTTTGCTTATCTTTTATGCAACTGTACCCAGTTTTGTGTCCTGGAAAGTAAAACTACCAGGTATAAATCCAAAGTCTTGTGAGACAAAAAGACCAAATCTCTATCTATAAAAGGCAGGATGTGCGTGTGTGTGTGTGTGTGTGTGTGTGTGTGTGTGTGTAACGAATGCGTGACCGCAATTTTCGACGGATTTGCACCAAAATTTACAGGCACATGCTCCAAGTTAGTGGGAAGGCCAAGACTGACTTTGCATTTCCCAACTCCCATCGATAGTGGAAATAATCGATTTATTCATGCATCTACGGCAGTTTTCATGTAGTTTGCAGCCATTTTCTACTGGCCAGAGTGAGAGCCAATAGCTGGCTGCCACAAATAGACAGGAAGATTCTATTGGCCAGCATGAGAGCCAACAGCTTATTGACACGAATGTTAACTAGCATGCTAACATGTAAAAAATCGATAGCTGCATTCGTCACAAGTGGGATAAATTTAAATCTGCATGGCACTTTACTCCAATTGGCTCATTGCTTAAACTCAACGTTGATTCTGATTCCACAGAATTGGGTTGGGTGTGAAAAAGTATTTGTTGTTAACATTCTTTTTTCATTCGGTTTTTCCAGTTACAAGTCCTTTTTTTTAAAGCTGATCGTTTTGTGTTCATTTTGTTTAGCTCTTTTTTCGTAACAGATTTAATGTTTAGTATAGAGCTTAGAAAAATTTGCAGTGTGAGATAGGCAAGAAGTAAGGCATGTAGCAACATCAGCACGGCAAAGGGCACTCCTTTAAAGGCAAGGAAGGGCAAAAATATTTTAAGTCAAGTGAGCGATTGCTGTATGTCGTACGATTTTTGAATCAAGCACAGGCAACGCCAGACCATGCTGCTAGTCAGAATATATGTAGAATCGTAACATTAAACTTAATTCTCAACCACAATTATTACTCTGCAGCAAATTCTTATGGCTTTTTAAATGTGTATTCTTTTATAAATGCAGTATGTGAACTTTGAAATATTTATTAAATAGTAACAATAATCAAAAAAATAAAGTACCTCAGGATTGGAAAAGTCAGCATGGTTGACTATTACTACAGAATAGTAAGTTCAATCCTCTTGCTGGGTACATCATACTTGTGACTTTGTGCTAAATTAAGTCAAACTTAGTAATTAATAAGACTAAGAGTAAGATGAAGAGAATAAGTCTTTTGCTGAAGCCACTGCTTAAATAATAGATAGTGTTCTTTCAAAAGCTGTTTTTGTATGTTTTCTTCTCATCTTTACTTCAACCACAGAAACAGAATGACTAATTGTAGCAAAAAGAATCCTTTTCAGTTTGTCAAACTCTATTCTTTTCTTTCTTAACTTCAACTGCTTCCAAAATTTGACCTAATCATTTACTGGATTAGAAAAATTAAGAGATCCAATCAGTCTTTCTTTTTATTGTTGCTGACTACTATCCAACACTCATTTGTTCATGACCCTAAACACCAGTTAAGTCTTGTAAATATTTTATTTTTCCTCATGTCCAGAGCCTCAACCTTTACATGGTCTCATGATCAACAGAGCATCTGTCCCTCCCTTTGTCATCATCATGCTGATTTGTCTTGAACTGCAGTTTCTCTTTTCTGACAAGCTCACCACTCAACTTCTAAGTGGGAGAGGCGGGCTGAAGAAGACACCCAAATTTCTTGTAATGTATGCTGATAAACTTAAAAACTATGTGATGAAAGGAATAGACATTACAGTGATATAACTTTTTTTAATGGAAATTCATTTCCACCAATAAAGGAACAAAGGAAGGTAGGCAGAGAACTCAGTGAATCTGAGTATTCAAACAACTCTAGCATTTGTGATTAAGAAGAACCATTTCAAATGACCTTCAGTTACAAGTACCAAGACCAAGAGGTTGTAGTATATTATTACTGCAGCTTTTACATTGACCAAGTCATTGATATTATATCTGTCCAGTGCTATCATCAAAAGTTTAGTTCCAACTAAAGGTAGAAATGATTATTTTGATGGCTTTTGTTGGATGATATCAACAATTGTCTTTAAATGGGACTTTGATATAATATCACTTTCAAGAAATGACAGGATATGGAATACTGATTATAGCAAAGGCTTATAAACAGATTTAGATTGTAAATCACTATTAGAAACTGGGTACAGTTTATAAAATAAAAATGAAAAATGAACTGGATATATGCTTTAGCTTAAGTGTCTCATGGATTCATAAAAAATTGAAATATGGAGGTTAAAACATTACACTTTCTTAAAAAAAAAATATACATTATAGTTCTTCAACTTTTGAAAACAGATTGTCTTTATGAAATGTATTTTTTTCCCCTTTAGCCATTATGGAAGATAATAAGCATAACATTTAAAGTGGCTGTGTTGGAATTTAATTTGAGAACAATATTTTACAAGTTCATATTCTTGCTATTTTTTCTATCCTCACTCCAACCTCTTTTTACTTTCAAAACTGGCTCCTAAAGCCTTGATTCTTATTAGAGATAAGAGTATATTTTCTGACTAACGAGAGAGCTGGAAAATATAAAAAGGAATTCCACCACCATTATTCTTTCCATGGTGCCATAAAGTCTGGGGGAAACCTCACAGCTTTTTCACTCCAACCTGTTTTCATTACTTCCAAAACCAGCTCCCAGAGTCCTGATTCTTATCAGAAATAAGAATATATTTTCTGACCAATGAAAGGGCCAGGATTCAAACAACTCTAGCATTTGTGATGAAGAAGAACCACTTCAAATGACCTTCAGTTACAAGTACCAAGACCAAGAGGTTGTAGTATATTATTTCTGCAGCTTTTACATTGACCAAGTCATTGACATTACATCTCTGCTGTCATCTAAAGTTTAGTTCCAACCAAAGGCAGTAACAATTATTTTTTATGGCCTTTGTTGGACAAGTGGTGTCAATTTTTGTTTTGAGATGGGATTTTGATATAATATCACTTTCAAGTAATGATAGGATATGGAATGTTGACAAGTTAAAAATTGTATAATTTCACTAAATTTTCCAAAGTTATATACATCTATAAGAAAAGGTATTCATATTACAAAAAAAAGACAAGTTTTATTGAATTAATGATTCCAAATTTAGTAAAATATCAAAGTTTCATGCTTGTAGCTTCAGTACATACTAGAACAATACCAGTGTGGTTTCATTAAAGATATTGGAACAAGAATTGCAATATTTATGATCAGAATGATATCAGTAAAAGCAATACAAACACAATAGTATTTATACCCAAGTTTCATAGCATATTTATTTTTTTTTAATCTAGTAAGGTAATAATACCACTAAGATGCAATGGGCTAGAATGAAAAGACTTTAGAAGGAACCAGAAGCTTAATTGTAAACAGGAAAAGGGATAAACCTCTACTCCTGTTCAAAAGTCTAGGGAGGAGTGTGAATTAGACAATAGGTGAACCTATCTACTAAAATAATAACTAGTAAATAAAATTTCAAAGTTCAGGCAGAGACTTTAGAAGAAACTGGAAGCCCAATCTGAAACCGGACAATGGATTAACCTCTACTCCTGTTCAAAAGTCTAGGGAGGATTGTGAACCAGATCATAGGAAAATTATGGTGTAAAGACTTATTTAAATTGATATGAAAACTTGATTTATTTGGGAAAGATATTAGAATAATCCAGAATATTTACTGGGAACAAATATTCCATCTTTTTTTTTTTTTTTATCATTTCACCCCAAGCAAGGCATTGGAGCCATTAAGACACATGAGGTTACTGAATGTTAAAAAAATATGAGAAAAATATAGTATTAAGGAGAGAAGACAAAAGAACAAAAATTAAGAAGACAGAAAATAATGATGATTGAAAAGTTGAATAGGAAACAAGAGGCCAGAAGAAAGTTCCACAAGTGAGAAGAAAAGAAACTGTAAGAAACTGTAGCATAGTACTTACAGTTATATCTAACCATTTCAATTGTAAAATGATGAAACCTTGCTGCATATCTAGTACTGTGCATAAATTCATACAAGTCTAGGTATCATAGAGGAAAGTTCATCAGAACAATTACCATGAAAGTATTTATAGAAAAAGCACAGAGAATCTACATTATGGTGATGGGAAAGTGACCAAAGCTGAGATGCCAGATCAGGATCAATAAAATTGCAGCTTCTTTGGATTTTATCAAGAATCTCTGAATATATAACAGAAGTACTATACCAGATGTGGCAGCAATATTCATAGAAAGTCTGCATGATAGACTTATAAATATGTAAGATAAATATGTAAATCTGGAGAGAAAATTGTTTAGTTCAATATAGTGAACCAACTTTTTTAGCTGCAGACTTAGCAATTGATTCTATATAACCTTTCTCCTTTATATCAGCAGAAAATGTTAGTCCAAGAAGGTGCAATGAGTCACTCTCCAGGACATTAGTATGCAGATAGAAAATGAATTGAGTACACAAAAATGTAAAGGGGCATAAGGCAAGGAAGTCTCTTTTTACCAGATTTATTTAATATTTACAGCAAGGCTATCCTAACAGAAATGCCAGAACTTAATAATGGCGGGCACAATCTTAACATAAGATATGTAGATGATACCATGTTGATGGCAGACAAAAAAATAAACACAAAAAACTACAGGAATTTCTAGAAAAGGTAGCAAAGGAAAGTGAGAAGAAAGGACTAACTATTAATTGTAAGAAAACAATGTATGGTTGTCAACATGAATAGTTAAGGTTGCAAGCTATGAATTGGAAATGTCAAAATCAAGCAAATATGAAAATTTAAGTATCTAGAAAGAATACTCTTCTCTCCATCTGAAAAGCAAAGTTAGAATAATTTCAGAAGCAGTTTTCATATCCTTTCTTCTTAACTTCACTTCAACTACTGAAACAATAAAATTTTTTTTTTTTTCTGTCCTTCCTTCACTTCAACTGCCTTTTAATGTCTGGCTCAAAAATGAATGAGTCCTGGCCAGTCTTTTTTTATCATTGCTGACTACTACCCATAATTCCTTTATGTCCTTGCATGCCACTCAGGTCTTGTAAATATTTTATTTTTCCCCATGCCAGTAGCCCCAATCAATACAAACTTTTATTTAACAAATAGTATTTGTTATATATTTGTCCAAGGTATAAGGCATCAAATTTAAACTGTTCAATTTTATTTCTCTTATATTTGAAAAAGCTTAATAATGGCAAAGCTTTTTGAAATATTTTAAAAATAAAACCTAGATGTGCATTTGAAAAATTAAAATATAATGGGAAAGTACTTTTTTTTGTAATTTAATTTTAGAAAATGAGACTTTTATCTGTCCTAGATTCATTTCACATAAGGTTAAATGTTTCAAGCATTTTTCTGTTTTAATCTTGGTGAAAAAATCAAAATCATGAAAATCAAAATATCCATTTCTATTGCAAAATATTAGAATATATCAGATCACCCAAAAATAAAAGGATTTGTATGATAGCAATATTGAACTTCTCAAAAGCATATTCATTTATGCACCTTTGCATAAATTACTACATCAATGCAACCTGACATGGAGGGGTCATCTTGTGGCACCACTTAAGTGTTATGGAAGTCCAGTGCTTTCCTTTTTGTATTATTGGATCTAGTGTTCCTCATATTCCTCTTGATAATAACCTAAAGGTTTTCTATGGCATTTAGCTCAGATGAGTTGATTGACCAAACCAGTACAGTTATAACATTGTGAGCAAATCAGATACTTGTAGTTTTGTCACTGTGGGCAGGCGCCAAGTCTTGCTAATAAAGGAAATTAACATCTACATAAAACTTTGTCAGCCGAAGGAAGCATGAAGTGCTTTAAAATCTTTGTATTGACTTTGGACAATGAAAAAAAACAGTATGCCAATAAGCCAATGGATGACATAGCACTCCAAATCATCACTGACTGTGAAAACTTCAAACAGGACTTCAAGCATGTGTATTTCCATGTTTCCTCTAGACCAGGGATCCTTATTTTCTCATTGACTGAATAAAATAAAAACTGTTCAAATACCCTGGGATTATATTGAATTTTTGTTTTATTGGAGTATGCTTCTGTTTAATTGATTATGAATTAAAACAAATTATTGTACATATATTCAAGTTTAAAAATCCATCAGCATTTTCTATTGCTATTAAATTTGTAAAACTTCTCTATAAAAATAATTAATGTAAATGTATTCTTTTTTAATGATGTTCACTCTATACAAAGCCTAAGAGCCACTCAATGTAGAGGCTTACAGAGTAAGAGGCAAAGCTTATGCAGATATATAGCCATAAGCTTGAACAGGTTAAGATTGTTGTGATCAGGGCAACATTCTCTTGGGAAGAAGCTGTTCAAGTGAAACCTACATCTTACCAAAAGAATATGAAGGGTATGAGGGTTGTTTGCTACAATGTGTGTGGTATGAAAGGTCTTAACCATGAAAGTCAGGACTTATGGAACTAGTGTAGTTCATCTGAACACTTTCCATGGAAATAGTGCTAGAGCAGTGAGAGACTTACAGTGTCTTGTCTGTGAGAAAGAGATTATAGGGTTTAAAATAATTTTATACCTGCAAAGATACAGAAACACTTTAGGACTATTGAGAATGGAAAGAAAGGACTGGACAGCACCTGCTAATATATGGCAGAAGTTTTCCATTTTCAACCTGATCTGTCTCTTGTAAAGATAGAGGGTAACAGGAGGAGTCTGATACTTACTGGAATGGTACAAGGAACCAACCATTTTTCCAGCATCTTTAACAATGAATCATAATTATGAGTTTCACTTGAGGTTTGGGCTGAGTTTAAGTCCTAGTAGGTACTCAAGGTACATCAGTTCATTGTGATTGGTGAAGTTCTTGTGAAAGTTCTGAGTCCGTTTGGTGATGGTGAAATGTCACTAGTTTGGTTTTCAAGGTATTGAATGTGACTTGCCAGTTTGTTAGAGCTGGATCAGAGGAGAGATCAGGTGCTAATCTCTGGTCATGTTGGGTTTTGGAGTTTCATCCATATATCATTGTATCATCAGCAAAGATATTCACAAATGATCAGAGTATATTCTTAGGCAGATCATTTATGTAAAGCAGGAAGAGAGTTGAACCAAGAAGCGAACATTGAAGAACATCTGGGTTGTTCATTATTTGGAATTCACTTTTTAAGTCTGATAATCTTGGAACTGAGGTGTGACATTCTGACATATGGTGAAAAGAGTGCATTGGGCAAAAAAAGTTTGGGAACCATTGCTCTGAATTTTGGTCTTGCTTAGTCAACTTTGATCTTCAAATATTAGAATTCAGTGCCAGTCTTTATCTTCTGTCTTCTTCATTCCTGTTCTTTTATTGTTTTCTCTCCTTAATAAGGTTTTTTCTAATATTCTCTCACACTCGCTGACCCCTTTGCGTTTTAATGGCTTTATTGCCTTACTTGGAGTGAAATTATTTAAAAAAAAAAAAAAAGAAGCTTTCTATGAATATACTTTGCAGAATTCTGTGAAGGAACAGTCTCATTCAGTAATGAACTTCTGTGACTTTCTTTCCACAAGAAGTGTCTCAATGAGTGTTTTCTATTTCAGCTCTCAAGTCAACAGTCACCCAACCCCATGATTTGTGTGTACTGAACGAGACTGAGATTCATCTTATTTATACTGTATAGTACACAAATTTGAAATGGAATATTCTGATATTTTTAGATGCATTTTTCTATTTTGTGCTGCCATGTTTAATTATTAAAATAAAAAAAATACTTGATAGATATTAGTTTACATTCAGTGGGTCTAGAATATACACAATTTTCACTTTCTGAATATAATTAAAAATATTGAATTTTTCCACAATATTCTAATTTTTTTAAATGTACTTGTAGAAATCTTTTTGTCAATTTTTTTTACTATTACTTTTTATTGGTTTGCTTGTTATTTTTAAGTCTCTGAAGATGGCCCTGTTTATTCAATGACAACTACAAACAGAGAATTAATTTGGTAGGTAAAATCTTTTTATTACTTTTTATTACAATATTTCAAAATAATTTTGTCTTTAACTATTGTAGCAAGATGTTTATAATTAGAATAAGTAGTTTCTATCAGAACTCAAATTTTCCTCTAAAGCATATCTTGCATTAATATTTTTATTTTGATAATAAAAGTTTTTATAGTCATACACCATTCTAATTTCAGTTAGTTTTAGTCTCACCCTACAACCATTTTTCCACACCATATTGTTTGACTACCCAATAAAAATGAAAATAGTAGTATTATTAATGTTTTAAAGTGTTCTTTGAGATTTGAAGAAACAAAAATCTTTTTAACTTGACTAGGTTGTTTTTCATTGCTTTTTATCACAATAGTAACCAATCCAGTTTTGGGTTGTTGAAGCAATTTTTTTCTTTTAAGACAAGAAATTTTGTCTCTTTTGTGAACTTCTTGAAAATGATAGATAATTGAAGTTTTCAATCAAGGAAAAAGTTCCTCGATTTAAAAAGCCACAATCCAAAAGGGTAAAATATTTACTTGTGTTATTAAAATTATGATTTTTTTTTTAATCATTTCACCCCAAGTAGAATACAATGTTCATTTTAATGACTAAAAGTTAAATTGGCTAATAAGATTTCAATTAAAAATAACAAGTATATGAAACTTGTTAAAAGTTTAGGATAAAATGCTTCTTACAATATTAACAATTTTTTTCTAACCAGAAATATAGAAATTAGTATTCATAAATTTCACCATAACAAAACACAAAGTAATTGATTCTTGATAAAATACAAAGAAGAATCTGCAATGTTATTGATACTGACCTGGCATCTTGGCTCCAGTCACTTTCCCACTGCCATAATGTAACTTCCCTGTGCATTTTTTTAATAAATACATTCATTGTAATTATTTTGATAAACTTTCCTCTATGATACCTGGACTTCATGAATTTAGGTACAGTACTAGATGGGCAACAAGGTCTCATCATTTTATAGTTGAAATGGCTTCTAGATGGAACCGTAAGTTCTATGCTAATAGAACTTACAGGTACTTCTCACTTGTGAAACTCTCTTCTGACTTTTTGCTTTCAAGTCCACTTTGATCTTCAAAAATTTAAATGCAATGTCAATAATTATCATCTGTCTTCTTAATTCCTGTTTTTTTATTGTTCTCTCTTCTTAATCATTCTTTCTTTTTGTCATATTCTATCACACTCGGTAACCCCTTGTGACTTAGTAGCTTTATTGCTTTGATTGGGGTGAAATGATTAAAAAAAAATTCATATATTTTAATAGCACAAGAAAAGTAAATATTATTACCCTTTTGGATTGTGGCTTTTTAAATAAAGAACTTTTCACTTGATTGAAAACTTCAATTATTTATCATTTTCAAGAAGTTCACAAAAGAGACAAAATTTCTTGTATTAAAAGAAAAAAATTCTCATTTATTTTTATCAATCATACCATTTTCCCTTATTTAACTTGATTACTTGATGAATTTTTAACTATTTCATTTTACAAATGCCTACATCTGGAAAAAAAATAAATAAATAAAACTGTAAATATTATTTGCAACAAGTGAACTTTCTTTATTGTCATTAAATAACTTAGACATTTTATTACTAGTAAGATCTCAATAATAAGATAACTTGTAATGGTAAAGTCAAAATATTTTGGGAAAGCAGAGAAATTGTCTTTTTAAATAATATATTTCAAATTCATTTTTTTTAAAGATCCATCTTATTTTATTTCAGTGGTTGCAGTGGTTACATCAAGGCCTGGTTATGGAGTAATATTATAAAGAGAGTAAGTAATTATATTTACTACTTTTAGCAATATCAGTAATATAAAATCCAAGCTTACTCATTTGACAAATATAACTTAAAAATCTTGTGAACAATTAATATCTTATTGTATTCATGATACTGTAAAAGATACTATGGAGATAATATATATTATCTGTTTATTTTATACTCTATTGGTGCATAGGACTTCAACTGTCCTAATGATCTTTCAGTTTCAGTAGGATTTTTTATTCATTTATTTTTTAAAGTGGAGTTATAATCTTCAATGGAAAGATATAATTTTCTTGAAAATTTAATGTGAGTCAACTCAGATTTTATTTTAACTTTATCTCAGGCAGCATGGTGGGTGAGTTTTTTACCTGCACACAATTGATACTGCTCCGTTAGTATTTGAGATATTGATTTGAAACTCCAGATATGTTACTAAAATTAAACTTGTGAAAAAAATTTGTTGAATTATTCTAAATGTAATTGTAAATATAGTGAATGTTCCTTTTCTTTCATAATTGCTGACATGAGGATTTTGTTAAAATTTAGAAAATTACATATAGTCTTACAATACAACTACTATATGACTTCAGTACACAAACATTTCAAAGTACATTCAGCATAAATTCTTTGCATTGTAAATGAAGATTTTGGTTCAATTACTTTGAAAACTATGTTTGATGATATCACTTGTTCTTGACGCAATAAAAATTTAAAATAAATGATAAATAATCAATAAGTAGTAAATTTATCTAATAATTTTTATGTCAAACTTACCAATGTTAAGTTTTAATTAATTCTGATTTTACATTTCATACATATTTAATATGTTGAGGATTTTGTAAGGTTATTTATTTATAAGAAAATTAAAAAAAAACATCTGTAGTATAAAAGTAACAGTTTCAAAAACGGATCCAATAACTTTTTTTATGTGCCATGTCCCTTCACGACGTAGGCGATCATGGCCCTCCACATCTTTCCCACTATCTGTCGTACGAGTATCAGATTTTCTAAGCCCTCCTTCCTCATTATATGCTCCAGAAATTTCAACTGTCTCTTCCTGATGTTAAGTATAAGTTTCTTTTTTGCTTCCATTCTCTCTACAACTCTGTTGTTCACATGTTTGGCCCATGGTATCCTCAGCATCTTTCTGTAGAACCACATTTCTGTTGCTTCAAGTCTCTTCTTCATCTTTGAGGAGATTGTCCAGCATTCGCTGCCATACAGGAGAACACATATTAGATCAGTATTCTTTTCTTTGTTTCCAACAGAATTTTTCTGTCACTTAATACTCTACTTAGCTTTGGGAATGCATCTTTGGCCATCCCAATACGACTTCAGATCTCAGTGTCACACTTTCTGTCCTCTGTTAGAGCACTTCCACATATTTAAATTTCTGTACCTGCTTAATTTTAATATTCTTGATCTGTAATTTGCATTTTGCTGATAACCATACATTCTGTCTTCTTGTAATTTATGCTTAGTCCTTTCTTCTTGCTTTCCTTTGCTACTTTCTGTAAGAGGTTTTGTAGTTTCTTTTCTGTCAGCTATCAACACTATGTTATCTGCATATATTATATAAAGATTGTGGCTGCCAGTAATTAATCTTGGTCGGACTTCTAATTCTCTCTGAATTGCCTTTCTGTGTAGGTTAAATAAATCTGGTGAGAAGATGCATCATTGTCTTACACCCCTTTCTATTTTTTATATCTGCTGATGTCATTTTCTGTCCATATGCAGGTGGTTTGCTGCCAGTATACATTCTTGATTATTCTAATGTCCTTCCGAATATACCAATTTGCTGAGCAGCTCTAACAGATCTTTGTGGTGTGCTTTGTCAAATGCCTTTACAGAATCTATAAAACACAGAAACTCATGTCTTTCTGTATTTGTATTGCTCTTTCCAATAACATTCTGAATATAAATATTGCATTCCTTGTTCTGGTGTCTTTGACGAACACATACCATTCTTGTCCTACTTCTGGTCTGATTCTGCTGTGCGCTCTATTCATCAGAATTCGGATAATGAGTTTTGTTATGTGGCTCATTAGGCTGATTGACTGGTGAAGTCTGCATTTGTTTGCACCTAGTTTCTTAAGCAGTATTATAGATACTACTTAGATCTTCTGGTATGTCACCATTGTTGCAGATTTCATTTATTATTTCTGTAATATTTATGCTGAAATTGTCTTAGGCTGCTAGCATCTCTATTATAATTCTATCTGGCCCTGCTGCTTTGTTTCTGATCAATTGGACCAATACTACTTCCACTTCAGTTTTTAAAATCTATAATAGCAAATGTGAAGTAAATGGTCAGAGATAAAGCAACTTTTTGTGTTTATTGAATGCTCTAGAACATTTCTGTGTAAAATTATTCAAAATATTTAATCTGAAATGTTTAAATAAAAATAAAGTTGTGATTTTTATAAAAATTACAATAAAATTGAACTAATTTTCTTTTCTATTTCGTAAACATTTAAATGGTGTTTTTTTAATAATGTTAGTAAGAACTATAAATAACAAAGTTAAAAGAAAACAGCATTTTGATTTTGGGAGGGTTTAAAATTTTGTGGGGTATAATTAAAATTGTTTTTCAGGAGACTGTTCCGGGACAATGGTGAAAAAAAGTTAGTCTGAAACTCCACTATAAATCCTGAATTGATTCGAATTGTTTTCTGTTGAAGACTTTTAACAGTATGTGTATTGTTAGGAACACAATTGCAAATGCATTTCATTAATATCTATGAATATGTGTGCACTATTCATTTAAAGAAAACTTATTTGCAAGAAATCATACTCTCTATTTTAATGATAGTAAAACAAAAATAAGCAGCTTATTTAATTGTTTATCTTGTTTTATTACTTTTAAAATATTCTAATAGATTCAAATGATAGAGAAAATTAGTCTTCTGAGAATAAGTTTATTTTTAGTTTATGCAAAATATTTTTTTATAAAGTTATACCTATTTATTATAAATTTGGACTTATAAATTATTTATTCAATTCTGTAGACAAACAAGTTGGCCTGGTCTTTAATTATACCGACAAAAAGGTGAGTAAGTTTGTATTTTTGTTATGTTTATTAGATTTATAATATTTTTTTCTTTTGATTTAAGAATTTTTTCTTACCTTACTATATTTTTTTAAAATTGTGTCATTATTGATATATTAAGGAAAATTAAATTTAAAAAATACATTTGTTAATTGGCTTTACAATGACAATTGGATTACAATAACAATTTTTTAAGAATCTTTTTTTAATCTTATTCATATTAGATTAAATATAATACTAGTAGTATCATAGATTACTACCTTACACACAACTCTGTAATATTAACTATGAACATGGCCACAAATTGCTGTGTTTGGAAAATAAAACATTCCTATGACTTTAGACACATACATAAAAAACTCATATTTAATTTTTTTAAAAATGGCCCTTGATAATGGCTAAAAGAATAGCTGAAAGCACTTGGATATACAGAACCTTTGGACACATACTAGTAAAAACTAACACACTAGACAGACCACACATACACTACGCACCATATAAAGTGTCTGTGTATATGTACTATTTCCTTTTAATAAAACAATATATATATATATGGAGAAGGAATATGTATACACATACACAAAAATGTCTGGAAAGTGCCTTGATCGCTAGTTCAGACATGATAAATTTGCATCCAGGCTCTTGCAATATATCACCATTCTTGGTAGATTTTCTGTTGTCAGAATAAGGCATAATCAGGGATAAAAGGTGATGGAGAGATAAAGAATACAGATGGATTTGGCTAGATTAAAAAAATATTCTTTCCAGAATATTCTTTTATAAAATTTTGAAACTACATGCATCACTTGCCACTGCACATGTGTAGACGTGGCAACATCAACAAAACCCAATACAATGAAATCCTAATGGAAAATTTTTAATGATATGTTTTAACATGTCATTAAAAATTTTCCAATTTATCATGTTTTTCTAAATATGCATAGTAGCAAAAACACATGCACATTACACAAAAGCATAGATAGGTTTAAAAAGATTCAGAGGTCATTAAAAAATAAGAACAAAGACCTCCTTTCTTTCATCTTTTTTCTGACCAATCCTAATTTTTTTATTACCCTTTGAACAGAGGAACATTTTCTCCACAAATCCAAGAAGAATTTGGATTACTACCACACACAAAAGACAATGGTTAAACATAGGAAAACAAAAAAAAAATTAATTCCTTTAAATAATATGTGGAAATAACCATTCTTTGCTTGATAATGGTCACAAGACTTAAAATGTGCGAAGTAAAAAATATGAAAAATAAAGTATAATATATATTTTAAAAAAAGAATTAAATAAATAAATAAAAGATCCACATTATAACCAAAAAAACATTTGTGGCTTCTCTTTATATATGTGTATATCTGTATAACCAGGCGCTTCCTTTGTAGCTAAATGGTATAGCACATCTGGCTATATGACAGTTCTGTATAGGATAAAGGATAAAGGTTCAATTCCTGTTGGAGGACGCATTTTCTATGAAATTTCTTGGATATTCAGGCTGGTAAATATTGTTAATACTGTTTATTATAAACACAGCATTTACTTAAATATTTGTATCTATAAAAATAACATATAAGTAGAAAATATATTATATATTTAGTAGAGATGTGTGTTTTAACTGAAAAACCGATTTTTTTCGTTTTCATCTTCACAACTTGAAACTGCATCGAAATTTTTTACAAAATCAAAATCATTCGGTTTTTTAAGTGCTATCACTACTGAGTGACCATAGCCAAAGAAACACTATTGGAAAAGTCTTTCAGATGTTAATAAAATTAACCACTTTATACCCTTTTAAGAGAAAAAGATTGAACAAAATATGTTAAAAACATTTAATTGAAATAAATATGAAATCTATTTGTTTACAAAAGAAAGGAAGAAAAAAAGGAAATGTAATATGACGTCTGAAATCTATTTGTTTCAGTTTTAAAAAAAAAACTTTTTTAATAGTAATTGTTTTCTAGTAAAGCCAGTGTGACACCAATTACAATATAAAGTTGTTGTAAACAAGAAAAATGAATGAAGATATTTTTTTTATTTTTTTTTTACAAATGAATTTGTTTTTTTTATCTAGGGAATACACCTAAATTACATATCATGAATAATTAAAATAGTTCTTAATTTCACTTTTAAAATGATGTGTTTATTTCCAGATATGCGAGTGTAAAATTGTTTATTTTCTACAAATAAAATTATGTTTCTATTTAGCAAATACACCTAAAATTAGATATTAAAAAATAAAATGTTTTAATCTCAGTTTTAAAATGTGTATATTTTCAAAACTTCAAGTCATTTTTTTTAAAACCCAAAGTAAAAATTATTCTTTTTTTATCCACTAGTGTTCAGTGGGTGTTTGAGTTTGTTACTGTTCTGCCTATAAAATTCTACTAAACAAGGAAAATTAATTCGTTTTACTTTTACAATATCCTTAAGGTTTTATTTTATCTAGCAAATACATTTAAAATTATATATTAAAATGATTAAAATGGTTTTTAATTTCAGTTTTAAAATGTGTATCTAAAAAAGAACAGGTGATAGTCGCAGATTTCAAGAATATTAAAAAGATTGCATTTTCGGCCATTCAAAATAAAATACCATTTTAACTCCCTGTAAAAAAATAACTCAATGAATAAAGGCACATAAAAATTACATATTTAGATAGATTATTTTATTTTCTTTCCAGCCATATGGATATTTTTTAACTATGATTAGACCAGAAATACACAAGAATTTGCAAGTTGAATGGACTAAGTTTCAATCTCAAATGAAATCAGATATCGACTGGAAATGCTATCATTGCACAAGAAAATTAATGTCTTAGAAATCAAAAATATTAAATTAAAAATTGAAAAACCAAATCAAAAACCGTGGGTATCAAAAGGAAAAAAATCAGAAACCAATAATGAAATATAAATTGCCAAACCAACCAACTCTAATTATTAAGTTTACTAAAAAATAATTATCTATTAAATCAGCATAATGAATTGACTGTAATATGTAAGCATTGTACAATGTTTTTGTTAGAAAATAGTTAATTGATTTTTCATAAAAAATCTATGTATTACAATTCTATATCCATTATTTTATTATATATATAATGCTACATGTAATATTGATTTAATTCCTTGATTTTTTAATTTTAATATTACCGTGTATTAAGGCCCATTAAATAAAATAAGTATTGTATTTTAGGTTCAAAATTATATAAAAATCATTTAATCGTACCAGAGGCCTCTCTAAGATAGTTCTAAAATAAATTTTGAAAAATAAATTTTTAAAAAAACAAAAATTAACCTGTTATTAGTGATATACATATCTCTCAAATTATTTCTTTGTAACTTAAATGTATATTCTTAACTGGAAGTATGAGGTTGTCTTGATATGACAGTTCCCTGTGACATGTATGAATACCACACACACCAACATCTAACCTATGTTTTTAACTTTTCTGTATTAAATTTGACCGGTTTTTTGATTAGTCAAAAGAGATATACACATAAGATTTTAAAATCTGATTCCACACTTTTACTTAACTCTTTAATAAGAAAATGTATTGTTGTCTGTTCTCAAATGTAAATCATTTTCATCAAAAGTTACCAAACATTACCTGTTGCCAGGATAAAAAACATAGAAATTTGTGTCACAATATAAAATATTTTAAATAAATTAAATATATAATATATATATAATATAACATATATATATATATATATATATATATATATATATATATATATATATATATATATATATATATATATATATATATATATATATATATAATAGTATATATATATATATATATATATATATATATACATATATATATATATATATATATATATATATATATATATATATATATATATATATATATATATATATATATATATATATATATATATATATATATATGAATATATATATATATATATATATATATATATGATTTTTAACATATATATATATATATATATATATATATATATATATACAAACACATATATATAGCATATATATATATATATCATATATATATTTTTTTATATTTATATGTATAGGAATTTTTTTTTATATAATACATTGTAACATAAATTTGTCATGCATATATATGGTAGTAATCCAGAATATATAAATCATTAAGGAGCTTTCTGTAAAAGGCAACAAAAATTCACAGAAAATAAAAAAAGAAAAGGAATTTAAATTTGCCTGTGTCTGGATATAAATATATTGAGAAGTGCAAGAGATATTGTTATATAGAATTTGAAAAAGTTGCATCTGGCACACAACAACTGGAGTTCTTAAAAAAATTAGGACAATCACACACATTTTTGTATATGTATATAGCAAATATAATGGATATGAATATATATAAAGTATATATATATATATATATATATATATATATATATATATATATATATATATATATATATATATATATATATATATATATATATATATATATATATATATATTTCTATTGATGACTATATATATATATATATATATATCAATATATATATATATATATATATATATATATATATATATATATATATATATATATATATATATATATAAATAAAAGAAAGAACAGTAAGATATATAATACAGTGTTCTTATAGATATTTTTATTTTTACAAAATAGTGCTCAATGTAAGAGATTCTAATACATTTACTTGCTCTTAAAAGAAATATAGTATATTAAAAATTAAAAGTGAAAATATTTTTCAAATTGTATTTAAATAAAACGTATTCTAACCTAAACACCCACCCCAAAAATCTTTAAATATACAAATAGAAAAAATGCCTTAAGAGTTTTTGCCGTTAACAATAAAATTTTTAAAAAATCCAGACGACATGCATTTAACGGATGTCAGTTTTCATTGAAGAATACATCCCTACCCCCTACCAAAACATAACTAATAGCTGATACATAAAAATACAGACATAATGAACATGCAAACACCCCTCGTCTGGTTGAAATGAATTTCACTGTATCCTTGGAAACGTGAATTATGATTTTTGCTGTCTTTAAAACCCAGTAATTTTATAAGTTACTCCAAAATTCGCTTGAGGATGAAATGGAACTAATGTCTTTAATTTAATTACAAAATTAAATTCGGACCTTCCATTTTTGAAACATAGTTAGAACTGTGTAGCGGAAAACCCATATTTTAAATCAATTTATTTATAATATATATAGCATATATATATATATTATATATTATATCTATATATATATATATATATATATATAAATAAAAGGGTAGGTTGATTTTTCACTTTTTTTAAAATATCAAAAAGAATAATGTACCGAAAGTTGTGTATAGACCTATTAAGTACCAATACAAAAAATTAGATCTGATACTTCAACGCCTTCTTGAGCACTTAGCATCAAAGAACGTAGACAAAATACACTGAAAACTCCTCAATTTTGCAAGATTTTGCCTAAATGAGAAAACCAAACAATTTCAGTATTTAAATCATGGAATGTTGTTATTTTATTTTATCAAAATGAAATAAAATGAAGAAATTATAACTAAACTTCAAATTGAAAATCTGCACTCCTCCCATTATCAGTGACGACTTCGAAATGCTGTTTTTTTACCTCATGAATTAAGCAGTAATAAAAACATTAAAAAATAGATTTTTTTCTATTATGAATGAAAATACAACAAACAAACAAATATGGAAAAACAGATAATAGCTTAATAGGGCTTAATATATAGAGTCAAATAGCTCCGTATAAGAGCCCTTAAATGAAAATGATGATTTCTAACACAAAATTTTGCTATTATGTACTGGTGCCTTGCTTCAAAGACATCTGGCTCCCCACTCCTGAAAGAATATAAAAATTAATTTGTGTTATTAAAAAAAAAAAAACCACTCTGTACAGCTTTAATATTTATGGTGAAATTCGATAAAATCCTTAAAATGATTCTATAAATCAGCATAACTAATTTAGTCAGTTTTATATGAATAAATATTTAATAACCTAATGGTCAAAATTCTTTTTATAGCTTCTTCCTTCACTTCCAGTTCATCAGATTTGACCATTGTATATAAATTATTTTCAGGCAGTAAGGCAAAAGCATTGTATTGTATATTTTTCAATGTGATCTGTTGGATTTCATATGGTTGCTTCTTGATCCTTTGGATCATATTGAAAATATACATTTGCTGATTGTGGAACTTGTTATTTCTTTTAATTTCAAACCAGCAAATGGTATAACCATTCACAATAAAATTTATTAAATTGTGGAGTTTAGTTGAAAGATTTTGTGGGTATGCACCACAAGTCCATAAACACAACAGCCTGATGGCTAAAGTTAACCACCTTGCCTGGTTTAATGGACCAATTTTCAATGATACAAATCTAGAGTCCACCTTACCTCTAGAAATACCCAGTGTATATTCATAAATGAGTCTTTGGTCACAACTAATGGTATCTGTATTTTCAATTTTAAAAATAGAATCCAGAGGACTGCCAACAGCTGAAAATGATATTTGGAGTAGATTATGGTAATCATTTGCACATAATTTACCCAGTGGACCATTGAATGTGGTAGGGCTTTTTTGTGGTACCATCTACATGTTTAAAAAGAGCTCTAAACGGAAGTTCATTTTGCTGTAAGGAGCAACCAATAGTGTGAAGATTTCTGTTATGTTTTCTTTCTAGAAGTGCAGCAAGTCCCCCTTCACAGCTTGTATTGGCACCAGTTGCACCAATATTAAGAAGAACCCTATGTGTCAGATATTCACTTTCATATGTCATGGCCTTTGTGGTGTTGTCAAGTGGTGTTCTGGTCCCTTGGGTTTTTTTTTCAGTTTTCTCTCAATTTTCCACCATTATTTTCTTGTACATTAGTGTGTCTTTGTCAGTTCTCCCATCAACTTCATTACAAAGATTTTCCACCTTTTCATCATGCTTTTGATGGGCATTTGTTTTCACTTTAGCCTTTGCTCTATCAATCTTACATTTATCTACATAGATATCTTTTAAAATATTAATATTAGGGATAAGAAGGCCCATAGCCCTCAAATCCAAGAGGAAGGCATTGGCTAAGCTGGCTCCAAGATTAGAAGATACATCACCCCTCTGATCAACTCAATATAGCATATCGTAGAATTTTGATAAGGCTATAAGGCCATTTGGGATGCTTTTTCCTGCCATTTTTATTAAAATATCTGAAAAAAAAAATATATGTATTATCAGAAATTACACAAAAATATTTTTCAAAATAAATTTGAAAATAAAGTTTGAAATACATTATTAAATTAAAAGTAATGTTTACTTACCTAAAAGAGTTAGTTCCAAGATTAGCTCATAAACCTTAACACACTAACTTTGAAAATATAAACAAATTACAATAATTATAAAAGTTGTATTTTTTAAATAGTTAAGTATATTTTGATGAAAAATACAATAGATATTTGTGCTAGCTAAAAGTGTAAACAGTAAACAAAAATAAAATGAACTTACAAAAGGAGGTAATTACTACCGGTAAATACCGAAGAAATATCCAGTAAATAAAACACGTTCATAAGTAGTTATTTGTATTTTAAACTAAATATTTTAGTATGTTTTATTTTTTTATTTTTGGTAATTTCATTTAATTTATTAAGAGAATAGATACTAAACTTAAAAATATCCATTATTAAGCGTATTTTCTTTTCTTTTCCTTAAGACTCGGTTTTAATTTAACCTACACGTTTCCAATGACACCAATATAATGATAAAAATCGCAATTTATTTTGTCTTTAAGTTCAATTCCTCAAATAAATACAAAGTTTTGAAGAAAATTATTTTAGTGGTAATTTTTGACATTATTTTGCAACTTTCCTCAAGTTATTTTTTTTTTACAGTTCCAAAATCGACCTACCCTAAAAGCATTGAGTACTTATCTGTATCTTTTATGAGTTAATCTATTATGAAAATAACTTTATTCTTTCTAAAAAAATTTAATCATAATTTTGGTATTTGACCAAAGTAATTTTAATTGTTTTAAGATATTTGTATTTCTCACTTGAGGAACTCTCTTCCAACTTCTTGCCTCCCATTTAAATTTGATCTTGAAAAATTTAAATGCAATCTCAACCATTATCTACTGTTTTCTTAATTTTTGTTCTTTTATTGTTCTCACTCCTTAATAGTCTTTTGTTTTTTCTGTAACACTCAGTACCCCACCCCACCCCCGCATCTTAGTGGCTTTATTGCCTTACTGAAAATGAACTGAAAGAAAATGCATATAAGTAATCAGTATCTGGCTAACAAGATGATCAGTTTAGTCTCATTTGAATTTTATGTAAAGGAACTTTTTCTGTAAAAAAATACAGAAAACCAATAAACAAATAGACTATGCAACCAGAGAAATATATCTTATCTTAATATTATGGATTATAATAAAATTACCTTATCTTATCTGTACTCTGAGTTTCATAGAGATTACATCCATTCATCATGGAATTTTACTGTAAATTCATATTTTTAAAATTTAAAATTGATTGTAATAATAAAATTAAAATTAAGTGTATAATTTTATAATCAAGTTTCCTAAATAGTGGATGTAATTTACAAAGTTTGTGTTAAGGACCAGATAAGTGAACATTTAATTTTATTTATTACTAGTAATGCTCTATCTCTTGATATTGAGCACTATAATTACAAAGATTTGTTTAACGTAAAAATGTTACCTTCCAGAAATAACGATTGGCAAACTTTTTTGCTAATCACAACCTTCATTATTGTTGTTATACATTTTATTTATTTTTATTTTTTCTAAGGAGATAACACTTGTGTATTTCTAGCTTTTTATTTTCTTCTTATTTGTTTATGTTCTGAATTTTGGCATCCTATTTGATGTTCTAATGTTAATAAGCATTGAAATATCAACTAATTTACTCATCAATTTTGTATGTTACTGAAATGTAACTGTGTTATTCAAAAATATATCCATCCTTTATTAAAATTATCTGATGGACATGATTTTATTTGACTTATTTTTAAAATCTTGTTTTCAGCTTTTCTGTATCTGAAATCAATTCTATGGTTACTGATGACAGAGTAAGTGTAAACTACATTTGTTCATTTTTAAACTTTCTTTTTAAACTCTGATTACTTTTAAGAATGTAAATACAAAATAATCTTGTAAAGTTTCCTCAGTATCTTTCCATAAAACATCATTTGATAAACTGGAAATTCAGAACTCAAGACAAATTCCAACTATCAAGCTAAAATAAAATTTCATTTTAATGTAGTTTTTAGTGCTTTAAATTTTAACGTAAATTTTCCATCATAATTTATGCATATTTCTAATGAATAATTTTACTGTGTTTCATTAAGGTACAACTCTAGCTTCTGGTACTAATTTTAACTCTTTCTAAAAGGACTAGTAAGATCTGGTGGGCTAAACAGAATATGTTATTGGAACACTCAAAACTAACAATTTGAATTAGCTGACATTTTGTACAAAATTATGAAAAGGAATCTGATATTCCTGCAGTAAGAATGATGTTGCTAATAATCAACCAATTTTGGAAAATTTTTAGTTTAGTTTGTTTATATTTATATGTTATTGCAATACATTTCTATAGTAAAATGACAATGAATGCAAAAGTAAAAAAAAATATGAAAATACATTTATATAGTTAAATTACCAACAATACATTTTATGGTTTACAAACTATATATCTAAAAAAAAATACTTTTACTCTGAAAGTATAAAATTATGTACAAAATATCTATAGTTGAAAGCATAAAATTACATACAAAATATTTAGATTTCGCCATTAAATAACCCATAGAGATTTATATGCCGCTAAACAAAATCAACCAACTAACTAAACGATAAAAGGAAATAACTAAGATTAAAAAGTGAAAAAACTTATGGAAACTAAGCATTGAGGAGAATAAATAAAGAAAGAATGAATTAAAAATATTGCAACTGTTGAAAAATAAGTGTGGGCAGGAGGAGGTTAAATCAAAAGGTCATAAATCAATTCCTCCAGTCCAAAGTCAAAAATACTCAAAAGGGGTCAAAAATCTGTATCCACAACTCACAATATACAACTGCCTATTTCACCCACAAAGAACAGAGACACTGTTCCTGTGATCCACATAGTAGTGTTCTTTTATTACAGTAAGAAAGACTGTGATTAGTCAAGTGTGGTAGGCAAGTACAAATTACCATATTCTGAGGTTTTATTAAAATACACCGATCTTGGTTTTAGTTTCCAACAAACAACACAGAGAATAGAGATTCTTTTTCAAGATAAGATGTTGTTTTCTTCATTGCTGCAAGAACTCCTAAAATGAGTTTGGAGAAGGCTCTAGAAAAATCTAAACATGAAGTAAACCAAGTAGAATTTATTAAGATTTAGTATGACTAGATCTTTCCCCAACCTACACAGTTTCCTCCAGAGGACAGTATGACAAATTTCTATGGTCTTCTAAAATTCTAGGGAAGAATTCTTGCTATGTTTATATAAAACACTATTGCACTTCACAAACAATTCATATTTTTATCAAAATTCAGCACACAGGGGTTTGGCCTGACTTCATTCCAAAAAGAGTTGCCTTTTATTAGACAATGGAAGGTCACCAATATTGAAAAACATGCAATAAATCAAATATGGAAGTGTGCAAATTTCCTTATATAAATTAGACAGAAGCCAGAGAGACAAATAGGACCAGGTAGAAGATGACAAGATATGCAAGGTCTCTTATAAACCATTCTTCCCACTGCTGCTTCTATCACTAACGAGCACATACGCAATTCCAGATAGATGAGAACACACTGCCAGGACCAAGGTCTCTCAAATTATTACAAATTACTGCTAGAATAATTTTCCTGCCAAAAAATTGTTAACAAACCTACATAGAAAGATTAATAATTCTTTAATCCTTATGTACTTTTACATTCTTCAGTTTATGTTTTCATTAAACCTGTTGTTAGTTATTAACAGAATTTATGGATTTGTGCTGTGAAAGTAGTTTTCAGCAAAGAACTTAGAACAACTACAAAACTCACACCTGAAATCTCTGCAGAATCTGATTACTCACCAGCTTGCTGATGTAGACTTGAATGGACATGAAGATAAAATACATTGCTAAGTGACAATGCCAATAATACTATTTTTTTGGTAGTGCTTGGACACTTGTTTGTATCAATCCAAGAGAGGTTGAATAAAATGGACCATTGCAGCTCTATGCATTGTATAATATGTACAGGTAGCTACCTTATTCACATTTATTGGGTTGCATCATAAGTAATTTCCATTTTTCTTTATAAATTTTATTCTTCAAAAAATGAACATACAATTACATTTATTTACTTATATATTCACCATTATTTGCAATGACTTGTTGCCACTTCTCAGGTAACTTTTCAATACCTTCTGAAAACCACAGGTATTGATGTGAAAAAGTTTTTGATGTATCCTTGAATCTGGTTTTAATTAGAGAAAGTTTACCTTGTAAAAGCATTTTGCAGTGATTGAAAATGATAATCAGTTAGTGTAAGTTCAGATGAATATGGCAGATGGGGCAGAACAAACTGAATATTCCAAATTTGTTTTCCTCTCTTTTTCTTGCTGCACGCAACCTTGCATTGTCATAGAGAATAAATTTTTTCCTATTGACTAATGCAGAATTCTTTTGGACAAATTTTTGGCAATCTTGGATCTTCATACCTGCAAAAAAGCAAAGTATTAAAAGGACAGTTTTTCCCTTGACACTGCTATTATTTTAACTACTTTTGCTTCTCAACAATCTTTATTGTGTTAAAAAGAAATGATTAGAATTGGAATTAAACCTAAACATATGAAAGTGAATTCATACATTTTCTTTGTTCTTGAGAATTGACAACTTAAATAATAAACACTATTTATTAGATTGTTTATTAGAATAGTTGGCAAGGGGTGGCATGGTGGAGTAATGGGTAATGTCTCAGATTGAGGAATCAGAGAGCCAAGTTTGAATTCCATTCAGATCCATTACATTCTCTAACTGCTAATATCCTTGGGAAAGGTATGAATTCTCTTCTTCTGCCCAGCTATGGGTATGTAGCAGGACAGACTGGGTTCTATAACCTTGGATGGCAACCAATCTAGGAAAAGGAAAAACTCTGAATCCAAAACCGGCCTGGAGAGTGTTGGGCTTCATCAGGCTATCTTGCCAAAGAAACACCCACTTCTACTACAGCTGCAGTATACATGGTGCCCCTACAACTATATGGGTCACAGGAAAAAAATAATAAGGATTTCCTTATAATTGGTTCACATATTTTAACTTAGTAAATGTAAATTTATAAATGAATTTTTTTTTCCCTATTTCTTTCTTTCTAAAGGATAAATACTACACTGCATTAGTTTTAATACAATTGTATTAGTTTTTAGAATGTTGTAAATATGAAATTATTCTTCTAAATAAACAATCTAATAAATAAATAGTGTTTAATATTTTTGTTGTAAATTCTCAAGAACAAAAAATGTATAAATTTGCTTTCATATATTTAGGTTTTATTACAATTCTAATCATCGCTTTTTTAAACAATAAACATTGCCAAGGAGTAAAGTTAGTTAAAATAATAGTGGTGTTAAGAAAAAAAACTTTTCTTTTGTCACTTCATTTTTTTTATTGGGTCGGTGAGTGGGATGAAGGTCCAAGATTGCCCAACTTTTTATAATGTTGTAGCTATTGGATTTATAAATGTGCATTCAGTATTTCATTGAATTTTAAGAACTTTAAATGAATAATACTCAGACAATTTCATCATGCATACAACATTACATGTCCTCTATGGATCTCAGTATTTGCATTGAACATTGTCATATGTAACCCATTTTTAATTACCTATTATGATATATTTAAAAAATAGTATGATACATTCATTGTTAAATTGATTCCCAAAAATGGAAATTACTTATGAACCAATCTAGTAGAATCTACATGTATTTCTGGTATAATGTCATCTAAACTTCAGGATCAATAAAATGATCAGGTGTATTTAAACATTTAACAAGAATCAACTTTATTCCAGTTGATATAGTAAGTATAAAAACAGGTCTGTTATAGAAATATAGAGGTTCTGTTATTTGTAAGGCTTTTTATGGATGATACATCAAAGTTGGTCAAGTAGGGTCCTTTTTTCTCTTTTTGCTGAGATAGGCTCAATGTTTTTAGTTAAGCTAAAAAAAAATATTAGAACACACATTTTCTAAATAAGATGTACCAGAAAATGAAAGCTAATAAATAGTCAGAATAAATGTAATTACTTTTTACACAATAATCTCTCACTCTGTTTAACCCATTTTTACAACTGGGATAATCTTTCAAACCTTGTAACAAAGCAACATCTAATGTCACAAATGATATGAACAAGATAGTAAAATGTTGTATGAACTTTAGAAGTAAACAATCTTTAACTCTAAAGTCACTACTAAGCTAATTTATATGCCAAGCACTGATATCACTAGTGATCCTTCAGATTTCAAAGGTTTTCTTTCCTCTACACAACTACAATGTAAGTAATTTAACCATTGATAGGTAACTTCTAATTGGGACAAAAATTCATGAGAGTACTGTCAGACTTAATTTAATTAAAATTTTGATGTCTTATTTGCTCTTGGAAAATCATTTTTTTTTTAACTGCAGAATCAGTGTTGCACTAGTTTATTATTATTTCTATTCATTTTAAATATTTGATGTATAAAACAATTATTTTCTTTTACTTGTTTAAAATATTTCTTTTTTTATTTTTACAGGATGGTAATAAAAATTTATTTGCTGGTTGTGGCGACAACCTAATCTACATCTTTGATTTGGAAAACAGTTCATTAAAAGTGAGTTTTTATGAAAGGGATTCTTCAACCCTATCTTAAAATTTATTTTAAACAATTTATGAAATTATTGTTAAGAATGATTATTATTTTTCTTTACTCTTAGCTTAAATAACATGATGCATGTAAATTTACAACATATATCTTCCTCAGGTGTCTGTCAGTCTGGGTAACCCTTTATTCAATCTCAGTATCTAGAAATATCTTGGTTAATTGTTAAGTTATTGCTAGTCCCTTTTCTGGGTATATCTGTACTATCAGGCCGAGTGATTGAACTCACAATTATTTTGTCACACAGATGCACTAATACTTTAATCTTCTTGGACACTGTCTTGATCATAACCACAAAGATGAGGATATTAGTCCAACTGTAAATAACATAAATGCTGGTAACTCATCTCAGAAATTAAAATGGAAAAATTATCTTAATTTATGAGATTTTTTTTTAGAAACTTTTTCTGTATATGTAACTTGGTATTCATTTAAAAAGTAATTTTTATTTCTGCACATGCATTAATTTTTAACACTGGTGTTATATATAGATTTTGTGATATACTGGAAATTAAGAATTTATAATTATATTGTGAGTGTGGAGCAAAGATACATGTCAAAGTGGAAAAAGATTTTGTGTGGCGCATTTCATCCCTTAGGACTTCATTGAACTAGATTTGTTTATGTCGATGCAACTATACATGCACATGAATAAGAGATGATGAAAATTTTAAATTTAAAAATATATTTGAAAAAAATTTTTTTAATGTGTTTTATGTTATGTTTTTTGTGTATATATTTTAATTAGATTCTTTCAATTTTAATTCTTTCTCCTTTTTATAAGGAATCTCTTAGACAGCTGTTGCAGTTCTATGATATATAAGTAATATTTACAAAGTAATGTAAATATACCTATATATATTTACTTTGTCAAGTTCACTTTTAAGAAGCTACCAGTGAGTGGCTAGGACATATTTATGACCTATTGGTATATTTTCACTTGTTGTTAATAATGTGATAGTATGGATACTTCTAACTAATGCCAGTGGATTAGTAAACCTGATTACCTTTTGTTACATTACTAATCTTGATAGTACTGAAAGTTAAAAGTTAATAATTAGTAATGAAAGTTTTTCTTGAAACTACAAAATCTCTTAGGATTAATAAAATAAGTATTAATGATATTTAGTTCATTTTCAAATAGTACATTTTTTTTTTACTAAATTTCAGTCATCAATTTCTTTTCAATTTAGAAATACATTTTATTAAATTGACTTCTCAGTAATATTAGTTAAAAGAAAATGACTAATCTCTTTTTTCTTCTTTTTTTTTTAAAGATTAAAAAATCCCGTATATTCTTTACAAAAATCATAGTTTTATTTAAAAACCTTTTCATTTGTGTGAAATTTTCTCTCTTTTTAAGTCAACTTTATCTGGTCACAAGGATTATATTCACTGTGTTACAATGTGTAACACTCGGTCAGAATTTGTATCAGCTTCTGAAGATGGTAGTGTTAGAATTTGGGGTAAGTATAATTAGATTTATAATGATTATAAAGTTTCTTTTTAATCTATTTGGATGTTAAATATTGATATCATTTTATTGGTCTTCTTATGCATCAGCTGAACAATCTTATTGGATCTGATTTGATTTGATATATGACCTCAAACTCAAGTTACACAATTATTTTTACCTATAAAATAAACTTTAAATAAGGGTTTCAAACACTTTATATAAACATTTGCTGTTGAATTGTTTTTGTATGAAGTGGTTGCCATTTCTTGTTATAAACTTCTGACCTCTCATAGTCTATAAAGATAAAATTGCTTTTGTATTCAGTTTGATGCATACCCCCAAAAAAATCTTTGTATTATGTTGATTCAAAAGTTTCATCTTTTGTTCAATGTTAGAGAGTGTCTTTGAATTTAACACTTTATTGATAGGAAAAAATAGTTTCCACGTGAACTTACAGAAAGCGGCATTGGTTAGTGTTTAAACATTTTTTCTTCCTTGTCAGACCAAGATTTTTGCACATGATGATGAATTCGATAACTGAGTTTGGTTATAGGGTCACTGTACAGCTGAGCACATGACCAGCTCCTTTCTATGTCTCTGTTGTCTACCAATATCTGAGTCTCTGTGATGTAGCCTACTTCTACTTTTAATTTTTTTTTTCTTAAAGTGGAACTTTGTAGGATGATAGTGGAAGTATTGCTAACTGTTTATGATGTATCCATACAATTTCAACTTTTTGACAGTAGAAATGAAGTCTTCTTTCCATTGGGCCTATTTCTTGTTTGATGGTGTCTTGCACTGTGTCATTTGTGATGTGGTCCATGTATGGTTCTCTCGTATCTCATTCAAATGCTTGGATTCTTTGCTGTAATCCTTCTGTTTGTGTCCAAGATTCACAGGTGTACAGAAAAATTAAGAAAGCCAATGCAGGCAACAATCTAATCTCTGGCAATCAAAATAGGTTTCTCCAAAATGAAGAAACATATTTCTAAATCTGATAAACTTAGCCCTAAACATAATCTACTGATGAGAAATTTTTTTTTTTTTTACATTTGATACGATTCAAAGGGAATTTTTTTGTTCAGAATTTGTCACCAGGACAATTTGTTAGTAATACTCAGTTGGCTCCTTTAAATGACATAATGGAAGAGGAAAAAAAACAACTTTTTCTAGATTTGGAAGTTGACCAGCTGCATGAGAATATCTATTTTCATATGACACAGCGAATAATCATGTATGGGATGTTTTTTTTTGCAGGACAATCACTGCCACTTATTTTATATTATACAACAATCCTTTTCTGATCTATAACAAGTTCAAAATATTTTTTTTTAAATTGTTAAAAATGAATCAAATTTAAACAGAAATTTTTTTATAATGGCCTAAATTCATAGAAAACTGGAGAAAGTGCCTTGAAACTTAAATAGTGATGTTCTGAATATATATGAATAAGTTTTGTTTCTTTTTAATTTTTTTCATCATATAAATAAAAAGTAACATAGTGAAAATTTTAGATAAAAATTTGGCAAATAATTGTTTCAGAATACAAACAGTGATTCATCACATATATTCAGCCCAGTGAAGAATTTTGCTTGTATATTGTTTTGAGAATTATTACAATGTTGAATTTAAAAATTTAAAAAAAAAATTTCATTCATTGAATTCAGATTTTTTTTTTTTTTTTTGGACATAAACAAAAAAAAAAAATGAAATTAAAAAAAAAAAATTTCTGATGTCTCTAAATATGCAATAGCAAATGATGTCTTCCTAAATTAATATTATTTTTTAACTTCATAGATCCACGAAGTAAAAATGAAGCCATTCATATAATTGAACCATACAGAAATGAGGTTCGTTTTAAAATGTTTTATTTTTATTTTTTAAACTTACTTTCCTACATCCTGACATTCCTTAAAATAATAATGTAGGTAAAATTTTATCAACACTAAATTATTTCTACTGAAATATTTACATCCTGATGTTTTACTAATTATGCAATTTTGCTTAATGAATTTACTTAATTTCTCTTATAGTAAAAAGGAAACTCAAAATATTAAAAATCAGAATTAATTTCTCTTTTAATTTAAAATATCAAAACACCAGAATAAAATTTATTTCTTATATGTTGCTTCAAATGAATAAAAGGATAAATCTTTTAAAAAGTCACAATTTCTCTTTTCTTTTTTTCCAATTTCTTAATAGCCTAATAGATTTTCATTTCTACCATATTTACCCACTTTAATTCTTCATGCAAAATCAAAACAGGAAAAGCAATTAAAGAATTCTGTTTATTTTAATATAAATCAATTTTCATAATGAATATTATAATCTATTTATTTTAATTCTTCTTCCAGATGTGTGCCCGACCTGAATTTGGAAAATGGCTTGGTTGTGTGACAATGGATACTGGAGATGATTGGCTGGTAAGATTGCACCTGTATTGAGATCTTACCTGTTTTCCTTAAAAATCAATATTTAGACTAGGATTTTCACAATGGTTTCAATGTATAGTGCACTGGCATTTATGCAACAGGTAATCTATTTAAGTGGTAATATATAATAAAATGTTATAATTTGGATAATTCTACTACAAAAATTACATAAAAATTCCACAAGGTCAGATATTATTCTTTAGCAAATAACAATGAACATTATCTCCTTAAAGAGTGTGTGTGTGTATATATGATGTGATGTGATGGACTCTCACATCATTTTCAACATATGAGTGTCTGTCAGTTCTTATTTTTATGCTTATGTTTCGGATGAGACAACAATCCTGCATGGGATTTGCAAACAAATCCACACGAAGGGTATAGTGAAGTGTTGACCGTCATATGGGCTGATGTATTAGACTAAGATTTACTGTTAATTCTTAATTCTCTCAGATGGTTGAGATGATTCTTTTCAAAGTTAGTTATACCTCGGTAGCAGGTGTTTCTCCAGTTTGCTCGGTTTTCAACAGCAAGTTCAAACTTCTCTATAGGGATATTTGCAGCATTTAAATTGTATTTAAGTTTGTCCTTGAAGCGTACCAAGGATGACCTACATTGCGTTTACCAGGTGCATCACAAGGAAAACTGAAGTTTTTTGGGTAATGGTTGTATAAAAATGGATGGTTCAAAAAAATTGGTAAGAATTAATGATAATTTGAATAGTGCCAAATACATCCTGAACATTGGAAACATTATTTATAATGATGTCTATTGTTAACAGGGACATTTATGAATAGATTTATTACATCCAATGTGGCTTGTATTTCATTGTTAGATTGAGAGAAGATTAATTTAGTGATTTTCAAAGTTGATATACGGGAGTAGCAGCCTGATAAAATTATTGGGCAAATAAAAGAATGAACTTTATGGATTTGGACATACAGATAACCAGGTTGTTAATCACCAATTATTTTTGTTTTAAATTTGAATGAACCAATTTCTATATTTATAGTTTGTCATGTAAATTTTAATTGTGCAGTAGCGTTTTGTTTAATCCTTTTGAAAGAGCTTTGCGATGTTTGTTGCCATGGCAAGCACCTACCCAGCTTTTCTGGTGATGGTTAGAAGGGTTTAAAGACAAGACCTGTCAAAGGGTAAATGAGCCTTCTAAGTAGGGGTCAACAACCATCTAACATAATGGGGTATAGACTGGGTTCCATAGCTACTTGTGCAGACAGTGCTGGGGAGTTTCCTAGACTGAAATCAGTAGCAGAGGATTACCTAGATGGAATCAACAGCCATGTGTCTGTTGCCAAGGGATGCCTTCAGACACTGGCTGTTGTTTGATCCATAGAAGGATGGACTCTGACAGGTCTACTTGCTATGCATGAATCAATACCTTTCTGGCTTTCAACCCAGATAGGTGGGTAGGAACTGATCAGGTGTTCAGCTATGCAGCCACACCATATAACTACAATCAGTCATGTGACTGATGATAATGATTATACTTATATGCTTCTCTATTTGTGGACCGAGATAAATCTAGGAATCTTTCTTTAATATTTCGAACATTATTGATAGAAATTAAAATTTGTTTTTTAAGCTGTCCTCTCGTTCTAAAAGATAAAATGTCTCGTAATCATCACCAATAGTCTTTCATTTTATTATTTCAAAATTTATTTGATATTTTTAAAGTTTTAAATATATGTGGTGGGAACTGGTCAGGTAACTCAAATGTGTAGCAGCCCTATGACTTCACCCAGTCATTAGACTGATGATTATGATACTCAAAATATTTTTTCAGTCTTATGTATTTGTGTATACATAAATAAAATTAGTTTTAAATAGAGAATATGACAGCTGGCAAATCTCATTACAAATAATCATAACAAAACAACTTTCTTTTTTTAAGCTTCTTTAACTTTTAGGAATTGATAGCTATTTTTACTTAAATATTAGAACACTTTCAGTATTAATAAATACTTTTCTGCTTACAGGTCTGTGGTGGAGGGCCCCAACTTTCTTTATGGCATATGCGTTCATTATCAGCTACTATAACTTTTGAAACACCAAACAGCTGTCAGAAACATGCTTTGATTCATGAAGATACTGTAAGCACCATTTTTATTCTTCTTCCATCTCTCACATTTACAAGGTAAAATGTTCTTTTGTAAAGAATTATGTTTTGTGTAATTAGAGAATATCATTGCTAATGCCTTTTCATTTTGAAAATATTTTTTATCCTGTTTTTAAATTTCAAATATCATTGTACAACTCTCACAGTTCTTGTTCTTTTTTTTTTATAAAAGCTGTCAGCTATAGATTTCTTTTAAATATTATAAAAAAAAGAAAACTTATCAAGCAGTTTAAATTATTACAAATGATTATATTTGTATTTATGAAAATTTAACCCTTTTAGTATTCAACATACCTAAACCTGCTCAGTAAATATCAGATCACAAAGTCTCAGTTTGAATGATTTCCTGCATTATTTGTGATGATGTTATAATATGGCAAAGTATACACAGGGAGGGTTACATTGAGAGCAGATATTTACAGGGTAGGTTGATTGTTAAAGGATTAATCATATTACTGTTATTTTTTTTTAAATATTTTTATTGCTCCACCTCTTCAGGTTTTGTCTGCTGGGAGTGAGCCATATGTTTTTCACTGGTCACTTAATGGAGAACTAAAAGCTCAAATTCCATGTACCCCAACTTATGTATATAAAGTAGATGTGAATACCACTTCAGAAAGTAATAAGGTAATTTTGAAATTGTTTACTACCTTTTATACATTTAAAAACTGCATTTTCATACCATTGTTCATTGACTGTGTTTTGAGAAAAATATAAATATGAATGTTTATAAAGACAATGTTGGCAATTTTTTTTATGGTGCAGCCATTTTGGTTTCAAATACATACCCTGCAGTACAGTCTATCAAGCTCAGTTCTAGATTGACTTTAGGCAATATGTTGCAAATTAAAATTTGAAATATTCAAAACAAGGTAAAATTTTGTAATATATTTAAGAAAAAAAAAATTTTTTGTATCCTACAAAACTATTTATTGCAGTATTTAACATCTTCAATGCTAAAAGGTAGAAATTGTGTGTATACAAAGAATGAAACAGATTTCCTAGAGACCACTAGAAAAAAACTTGTTAGTCACAATAGTGTGTAGAAGACATAGTGCAAATTTCAATAAGGCGATATTAATTGACATTATTTGGTACTTAACATTAATGTATTTGTTAATTATATATAAAAACACCCTAAAGAAGGTCCTCACTAACATCTTGTGGATCATAGAAGATTTCAACTATCAAGCTTGGCACATCATCATCCACCAAGCTGCAAGCAATTTATAAACCAGTTGCCATGCTAGCCTGAAGGAAAAAAAAAAAAGCAACCAAGCAGAGACCAAATATTTATCTATAGACACTTTAACTGATATTAGTAAGAGCATCCAGTTAAAATGAAACTATCTTCACTAACAAAAGTCTTTGAAAAATAACTGACAGGCATCTGAATATTTTTTCCTATCCTTGAAAAAGTATGACATATGCAATAAGTAATCAAAAATATATATTTCTTTAGATTAAAAATGACACATTTGTAGCAACAATTTTATCCTAAACAGTCTCTTCAAAATTAATCTAGTATTTTATTTATATATTGTTTGTGATACATATTATAAACTATTTCTTCTATTTGCAGGTGCTGTGTATAGCAGGTAACAGTTCTAAAATTGATGTCTGTACAAACTTTAATTACAAAGCATTTTCACTTACATTTCCTCCATGCAGCTGAAAATTTGAAAAGCAATGAATTTAAGTTTTTACAATTATCTCTGAAAATAAATTTGACCTTAATACCAACACAGAATTGTTTGTTTTGTATTTATCCTTTGGTTATTCTTGAACTAGTAGGCTTCGCCTGCTTGCTATCTGGTAATTTTTCTAGGAAAAATTTAGTTGTTTTTCTATGGAATTAATGTTCACTATTTATGAAATGTTGTATGGATTGTGGACATTCAATATATTTGTTCAAAGAATATGACTGTAAAAACAGAAAAAATTAATTGGTCGAATGTGTGTATAGGGGGCAGGCTTGTTATAGTTAAATAGATGCAAATTGTTGAAGGCCAAGTAAAATGCAAATTTCAAACACTTTTCTGCATTATATCAGACAATATTCCTAAACAGAGCTATTTTTGATTTGAAAATCAAAACAATCCTCGAATAAATGAACAGTAAGGAAGGACAGTTAATTAATGAAATATACATTTTTTAAAATCAATATACAAATTAATTAAACCTGAAAAGTGATATTGCATAGAAGTAAATAATTTATATCAGATATTGAACTTTAGATGTGCAAATTAATATAAAGTAGAGTTGGAGGCCTTTTAACCTCAGAATTTGTGGGAGAATTCAGCTCCAATCTCACATTTATATAGATAAGTAATTTTCAGGTTCGTTTTTTCTTTTGAATATTTTTAAAATGCTTAGTTTCCATAATTCTTTTTAAAAATATGATATTGTGTAATTATTTTATGGATTGCAGCAGTGGTTAAAATAAAATAAAGATATACAGAAAACTGTAATCACATGCATTATATTCAACAATGTATCTGTGCTGTCAAAAATGATAGCAATTGTTAGAAAGTCTTAATAATGAGATGCAATGAAACCAGTCTTGAAACAATATTCAATAAAGTGAAGATAAAGAATTCACAACTAAAATAGAGGCCATTGAACCATTTAATTAATCCATTCCTTTTGTTTTTTTAGACATTTAGTATCTATGATTCATTGATTACTCCTGGTATTATATAAAAATTGCTTTTTGCTCAACACCTATATATGTTAAAGATTTTATTTGTTTAATATAAAAGTGAAATATCTCTTAGAAGAATAAGATTAGCAATAGAATGACAAAGACAGCAACAAAGCTTATTTCAATAACAAGTTGAAGCAAGGCAATCACTTAATAGACAAAATTATTTGAATGCCTTGAACAAATAAGACTACCATCTAAGAAATGGAGTAAAGGAGGAACTGATTAAATAAACGGTTCTTTTTGCTCAAGAAGTAATTTTGTCTAAATGCAGATACATATTTTAATTGTATAGATTATTAAAGTGACTAAGGGAAGTAATCGCTTTTATTTATCTCCCTTTCCACTACAGATGGGTCAGGAAATAAATAAATACACATTGATAATTATTTTATGATTTGATTATTAAGTATTTTTTTTTATTTTCTGTTTAGTATAATCCTTTACCAGGTCATTACTTGAGACCTGGTGTAAGGCAAGATAGTAAATATATGCATTCCTTTTGCACAAATATTCAACATGTATAGTATTTTCTTTACATTGATAATACTCACTTGAGTAAATGAACAGTTAACACACAATGCAATTTTTAAATCTCTTATAGACAGGTGTAACCAGGAATCTTAGTAATGTTCTTATTGCATATTTTTTATCATATCAAGGGTTCCATGTCTTAAGGAGTGTATCTGTACTCACCATGCTTGGGCAATTTGGTTAGTGGATGACTTGACTCTGAGGAGTTGATCCACCCTTTAACCATCCTTTATCCACCCATTACAGACTCTTGCAGTGGCCCATCCTAAAATGGAGTGAATCATGCTCAGCATCACCTTACGTGACAAGAAGAGCAACACCTGAATTCAACAGCAAACTGGGGTAAAGGACATAATCAAGTCTATCAAGAATGGAAATCATAGATAGGCTGGTCACATCTCCGAGACAACAGGTGAGCTATTAGAGCAATAGAATGGACACGAAAGCTGCAGAGAAGAACTAGAGGGCAACCAAAGGCAGGATTGTCCAACCTTGTCCCCACATAGCTCAGCATGGCAGAGATATGAAGAGACAACAGGTGGGCTATTAGAGCAATAGAATGGACCGAAAGCTGCAGAGAAGAACTAGAGGGCAACCAAAGGCAGGATTGTCCAACCTTGTCCCCACATAGCTCAGCATGGCAGAGATATGAAGAGACAACAGGTGGGCTATTAGAGCAATAGAATGGACACGAAAGCTGCAGAGAAGAACTAGAGGGCAACCAAAGGCAGGATTGTCCAACCTTGTCCCCACATAGCTCAGCATGGCAGAGATATGAAGTAGTGGATGTCAACCAGGGAGTGGTTTCTCCAATAGAAATGAGGTGGCCTTGGATTGAAGGGCTCCAATTATTATCAGCAGCACCTGTAGTAATAATAAGCTTAGTCTGAAAAATGGGATGAAACTGAATTGGGTAGAAATCTGTGTAAAACTCAATATTTGAAATTCTTGTTTTATTTGTGTAGATTAGGGGTCAACAACCTTTTGCTATGTGCTGTCTTAGGGTTTTAAAATCATTCAGTGTGCCAACAGCACACATTTTTATACAAGTCAAGGTCAATCAATATACCTTTTCTACAATATATTTTATATAGTAATATATAGTATATATACTTTACTATATATTAAAATTGAAACAGATAAATATCTCTTTGCCTTCTAGTAGTTATTGATTCAGACTTTGTGATGTCATTTGCGGCTGCATGCCATTGGAAATTGCTTAGGATGACACACATGCCATAGGTCACTGACCCCTGGTGTAGATTATTAAAACAACTAAGGGAAGTAATCTGTCATAAATTTACCTCTCTTCCCACTACAGATGAGACAGGAAATATATAAAATACAATAATTATTATATGGTTTGATTGATGACAGATTTTTATCTTCATACCCATACACCAATCCCCAAATAAAAAACATGCAGCAGATAGACTGATTTGTTTTTTATGGCTTATCAACCTTTTGCAGGTTATTTAAAGCCAGAAAATAGTTTTAGATTGTTGTAAGAATTGTTTTGGCAATAATGATTTACTGATACAAGTCCTAATAGCTGTGGAGGGGAAGAGGCAGATTGGCACCTTTCCCAAGGGTATTTGCATGCAAGTGAATAATGAACCTGACTGAAATTGAAACTGTGCTCTTTGATCTCCAATTCTGATCTATTGTCCATTACACCACCCACACATCCAAGCTTACAGCACCTGGTATTCCCAAGTGGTCATCCATTTAGGTACTGACCAGGCTGGAAATTCCATAATGAGAACCAGTATTTCAATATTATATGACTGTAAGCCTATACACAGCAACTTATTACTTTTAAATGTATTCTCCATAATTTTTATGTAACACAGGATGAAATTAGAAAATAAACACCTGACACTGAAAGATTTTTTTTTTTTGGTAACAATATTTTCCCTGTATTCATCAATCTTAAGAGTATTTTTAACTACTGTCTGATTTACGACCAATGTAAGAACACCTTGCAAAGAGAATGTTTGAAATATTGCAACAAAAACAACTGATTAAATAAAGAGAAATGCAGAAATAGGTTGAAATGTATTTTTTATTTTTATATATCTTATCTTCAAGACCACAAAATTAATAACAGTTTGACATCCATAACATTTTTCCTGAAAAAGAATAACTTAGAATGCCATATTTGATAAACAGATGAGTGACATAATCAAACTTGTCTGAATTTCTGGGATGAGGAGTTATCAATTACACTATTTATATTCTGACTTTTGTCCTCATCTTTGTTGTTTTTATCATGTTTTGGTCATTTGATCAGTTTGGAATTCCCTGTAGATTACCCAGATTGATACACACCTGAAGAAGACCAGAGGGAACAATGTCCGAAACATTGTGATAAAAACAGAGATGAGAACAATAGTCTGAATATAAATAGTGTAAATATTGTAGAGTTTGAGTTTTTGCATAATACAAATAAATCACAGAAAACTTATAAACCTAGCAGATCTTTTAAAAACAATGAATTAAGAGGAACATAAATAATAAATGTGAATAAAACATTTTGATCAAATTGTGGTGGAATAGAAAAAATATCCTGCAATACTTGTTTATATATTTCAGAATATACACTTTTTCTCTCTAATGAAGTAAATGAGATTGCATTCAGTTATGTTTTTTTATGCAAATTAAAATTAAATATGCAAATTTAAAGTATTAACTAATTTATATCTGCTTTTATCTACTTATTGATTACATGGGATTTAAATTAACACCATTTGATTATTTGAGATATACTATTTTGTTAACTGGCTTTCTAATTAAAATTCTATTTGCAAATAAATTTTTATACTAAAGTTTATCCAATACAAGGCTCAATTGCCACTTAAGGTAGAGAGTTTTTGAATGAGGTGTGATATGAATGTAAGAAGAGGAAGTAAGCAGTAAAGAAGAGGATATAGAGAATACTGTTTGACCTTTGACTTGAAGAGGTTAAGATTAGTGTTCAAGGAAGCTGTATGTAGGAATCTATCCTACAAAATAGCAGTTCTTGGGAAAAAGTTGAGTGCAACTTCCTCCTTACAAATGGAATACAGAGGGAATAATGATGGGTACAACTCTAGAGAAGTAGCATGACAAGTCTTAGCTTTAATGGCTTGAATTGGTGGAAGTAAAGAATAGAGCTCCTCTGAACATTTGCTATAGAAATAGCAAAAGGCTAGTGACATTGCCCCTTTGTGAAAGAGACTACAGAATAGAGAATAAGTCTTACCCAGCAAGACTGTGTTAACAATTTTGAATTCTATCAAGACTAAAGTTAATTATTGATCAAAATAAGAGGATTAGCAAATGGAAAAAACACTTTGAAGCCCTGGTTGGCAAGCCCCCCACAACAAACTATCGAGGGACATTCACCACAATAGTCTCCAAAATCTACAACCTGCTCTTATTGAATCATATCTGCC